GGGGGGGGGGTGCGTGTGTGTGTGTGCTCATAGGGCGAGTCCCCACACCCCACCATACACCAGCTTTCACACCCCCCTCCTACTGCCATACACGCAGATCCCCACATCCACACCCCCTCACACACCCCAGCCACCCTCTCCCCCACACTCACCCCCCACAAACCCCATACCCAACCACACCCCACATATCCACACACACCCACATGCTCCCTCACCCCACACTCACACCCCCACATCCCACATACCCACACACTAACAGTCCCCCATAAACCTATCCATATGCCCCCAACCCCCCACACAATATTCAAGAGTAAGACTTCATTCTAAGCTATTGTGCAATCACCTCTATGTACACTACACAAACACATATACATCAGGACAAAAATATTTTTTGAAATCAAATTAATGAATGTTGCAGATGTTTGATTTTTAGAATATAATCTGGTATTTTTCTGGTTCTGAGATGGCAAAACCCCTTGCTGAAAGGAATATTTCCGGGGCAAGAGGAGGGACTTCTGGTGGCAAAGGTCAGGGGTTAGGGGGCGGGACATCTGGTCACAAGATGGCGACCAGGGGGCAGAGCACCTGTCAAGGGGCAGGGCTACCAATGCGGCCCTCGACAGCTTGCCAAAACTCAGTAAGCGGCTCTCCACCCAAAATAATTGCCCACCCCTGTAATAGCTGATTGAAGCTAAAAGCACCAAAATCCCCACTGAAGCACCCACACTTTACAGACACTGCAGAGCTGGGCTGAAGTAATGCACTGCTTTTTCTGGTAAAGCATGGGTTTGGGGTTTTTTTTTAATGTCTGCATGCTTGAACCCCAGAGCACTCATGGAGTCGGTGCCTATGCCTCAACCTCTGGTTCAGTTCAGAAGTCAAATAATTCAGTGCTTCCCAAGTACTTCATCTCACCGATACCTTAGCAAATATAGGCATTTTTACATGTGCTCCAGGACACGGCACTGGGCACTTTAATTAGCAAGCTGCACTAATAAAAAGCACCCACACATCACATGTATCAGTGTCCCCGCACTGAAAAAATGGAGGCAGGGCACTTTGAACTAAAGCTCATTAAACTTGTTTTATTTCAAAGTGCCCTGCCACCACTTTTTTAGTGTGGGCACACAAGAAGACACTGATACATATGATGTGGAAGGCTGCCAGAGTGCTTCAATTTCCGTGCTCCAGCAGACTTGACCAATCGAGGTGGATTTCCAGCACATTCGATCAGACTCCCCACATGTCTCTAGGAGCCCTATGAGATCTCCTCATCAGTCCATCTCTCACTTAGACCTCAAACAGCCTCTTTTTGGGCTAGGGACAGAAGTTACACATAAACAGATTTAAGTGATCAGAAACTGGTTTGAACCTGTAACGGAACAAAAGTTAAGTGCACATAAACCAGTTTCAAAATGGCCAAAACCAGTTTAAGATAAACCTGGTTAAATACAGTATCAGACTTAACTGATTTGGGTCAAACTGGTTTCTGGAACTTCTGTCCCAGACCTCTTTCTTTTTTAAGTTAAATCAGAGTCCCCCAGCATCCCAGCACGCTCTGCAGCCCTGGGCTGGTCTTTGCTGTCTGCTCCAGAGAGCAGGACTGGCCCTGCCCCTCTGTTCCTAGCTGAAACAAAGGCAACCATGGGATCCTCTGGAGAGAGAGGGGACAGAGCGGGGAATAAACCCCATCCCTGCCCCCTTCACCTCAGGGAGCCAGGCCCCCACTCCTGATGCTGCATTGACGAGGTGGGGATGGTGTCCTGGGGAGCACAAGCCTCTTCCTGCGGAGGGGTGGAGGGGTGCGGCCTTTGCTGCGGGTAGAAGCAGAGCAGGCAGAGCTGTCCCAGCCTGTGCAGGGCAAGCTCAGAGGGGTGGCTATGGAGGCTAAGCTGAATTTTGGAGTGGCCATAGTCCTTCAAGTCCCCGCCTAGCATCACCACCACTGCCCCTCACCCTGTGTAAGCTGCGGCAACTCTGCCCATTCTGCTCCCACCTGCAGCACAGCCCGCACACCGGGAGGAGGCTTGCACTCCCCAGGACACCATGACAGGGACTGCTGCCCCATCAGGGTCCCTCCTCCCTCAGTGCTCCAGCAGCAGGGACAGAGGCAAGGCCAGACACCAGCTGGCATGTTCCCGTAAGGCGAAGCAGGCAGGGAGGGGGTTTATTCCCCCCTCCATTCCCTCTTCCCCTGGGGAACCCCAGTCAGGGTCTGCCTGGCTGGGTGTGAGTGGTGGAATTGGCAGCTGGGGCTGTCAGACTCCAGCTGCGGTTCCCTGGTGGGAGTGGGGATGGACGAGGAATACACTCCTCTCCCTGCCCCCTTCACTTTAGGGAGCCATGCCAGGCTGGCATCTGGCCACACCCTGGCAGCAGTGACAGGGAGCCATAGATGTAAGCACGGCCCCCTGTACCAGGCACAGGGCAGTATCCCTACGGCTTCCCTGCTGTCTGCCCACCTGACGGCTGACCGCAGTTTGGCAGCACAGGTAGCACCTACCACTACAGCCAGGGTGATGGCAGTGGCAGGAAAGCCATAGGGGTAGAACCCCGTGCCTGGTACACAGGGCTGTGCTGCACCACTGCCACCACTGTGTAGTAGAGCGGTGAGCAGGGCACGCCCAGCTCAGTGCCTGGTGTCCAAGGTAATAGCGCTGGGGCTGAGGGGGCGAGCCCGTGCAGTGCACACCACTTCAAGGGCCAGGGCTGTCCTGGAAGTGACTCTCCAGTGGGTGGAAGGGGCCACTGGGCAGGAGCTTTCCTTTATGGAACTTTGCTACCTGGGCCCTTCCCTCCCCCAATCAGGCCTTTACTCCTGGGCTGCCCCAAGCAAATCCCAGCCCCAGTGACTGGGAAGGTGCAGAGGGATCGCCCGTTTGCTGGGAGGAGGGCTCTAGGGGTCCCAGGCCCTACTGAGCCACAAGCAGCGGGGAAAAGCCAGGCAGACCCTGGCTGGGATCGCTGCAGGCCAGGGTAGGGGTTTAAACCCCTCCCCAGTCATACTCAGTCTGCCAGGGCCTGGCTTTGCCCCCCTCAGTTTGGCTTCCCTCCAGCCTGAAGGGAAGGGGGGGTTCACTCTAGTACCCTCCAGCTTCTAGCCTGAGCCACTGTAAGCATGTGCCTGCATTTCCATAATCAAAAGTGAATGTATATTCACTTGCAAATCAGTTACTGCAAACTAACCTACAAAGATTGAATCAATTCAGGCTCCAGCTTTTTGAATGTCTGTCCCTAACTTTGGAGATCACGCAGTACGGAGCCTGCAGATCACTAGCGGTACATGGACAAGAGTATGAAAATCCTTGAACTAAACCATTTGTCGTAGAGGTTAAAACATATTCCAAAAATCAAATCTTCACCTTTAACATTTTGATTCACTGTCATTTAGGTGACAAAGTAACAAAAACATGTATAAAACATTTTGAAGCAACTGGAATTCTAATTCATCTTTCAACTTGCATTTTCTTTTTTTGCCATTAGACACTTCTTCCTACGATCTGGTAAAAATGTAATTTTTTCTTACCGTTCCCCTGTGTAACCTGGACTGCAATGACATTGACCTGTCGCTGAGTCACACGTGCCTCCATTGTGGCACTGACATTCCTGAGAACAGTTTTTTCCATAACGGCCCTCCGGACAAGGCTGACCACAGACTGTGCCCTGTGTGCAAACACATTTTTAATATTAAGTTTAGGACTGCAGCTGTGACAGGGAAAGGAGAAAAAACAGTTGGAAGGAGGTGAGGAAATTAATGGAATCTTGTATCACTCTGCTTATGCTCATGTGGAAAATGCCAGATTCTTTATTTTAGTCTTAAACACAAGGTATATTTTGCCATACGTGTTGGGACAATACTCTTCTAGGATTTCTATCCTGGAAGCTAAAGCTAATCAAAAACATTATCTTCAAATGACAATAAATATTTAGGTATTTGAGCCTAGCTGATGCCTAGGTCTTCTTTATTTCTTAATTCAAACTAGAATATACCAGGAAGTACAGTAATGCTTTCTTGTACACAGTAGCATAAGAACAAACAACCGCTGCAATGTCCAGTCATTTTGATTTGTGTTTAAAATAAATAAAATCTGCTTTGAATTTTTTTATAAAGTTCTTTAATGTTAACAATTATCCTCCTTTCACAGTGGTTCTGAACCACTGCAATTCCACTTGTATCCATGGAGTTATTTATATCTATGTAATGATAGAGGAATCACATCTTAAGGCTTTTAGGAAATCAATTCCAGAATAAGACAGTTATGGTCACGTAAGCAGAACTAACACAAGAGCTTGTAGAATTTGTGCCTGGGTATTTTACAGCAGGCTTACAAAGGTAATAAAAGGTAATAAAAAGGTTGAGCTGCAGCACTGCAGTTGGGAACTGCGAAATTTCAAATGTCAAAGAGGTATAATTAATCACTGATTTTGGATAGAAAAGTAGCCACATAGATAAATGTTTTCATCACCTTTATTTAGATTAAAACCGAGTGCCAAGAAACCATGAAAATGCTTACAAATTATCATCATTATTAATAATGTATATTATGGGATTACTGAGACACCCCAATCAGAACTAGGGTGTCACCTGATTAGTGCTCATTAGTCACCAACACATAGGTGGACCCATTTTTTGCCCTACAGACAGCTGTAAGACACCTACATAATGGGACTGATCACTAGTATATACAATTTTTGTTTTTATCCTTACTATATAAACTCCAGTCTCCAAATCCCCAACCATCTTAGCATCTAGCATGATTAGGTTTAGTTGTTAGATATCGATTATTCCACATCTCCCTCATACTCTACTATCTTACTCATGCTTTTATAGCATTTTCCCCCTCCACGTCGTGCTTGAAGGCAAACAAGATTTTGCTCATTCTTTCTGCTGTGGCTGTGACAGCAGGGATGGATCCTTGCAGGTATGAGGTGTAAGAGCATACGTGCACCACCGAACGGCACCAAAATCAGTTACGAAGCAGATGTTCTGGTTTAACTGTATTCCTGAGCTGTAAGAATGCCACCAGAGTTCACTCATTACCCACCCTTGTACTTCTCTTTCAGTAGGTTGGTACTGTATATTTCAAAATACACATATAGGCTGCCATCCAAGGTGCTATAGGTACATTAAATTATATTCATAAAGACTTGAAATCTAGAATCAAAGGAAAAACAGAACTGAAAGAAACCCTCAGGAGATAATCTAGTCCAGTGATGCCCAACTCATCTAGCCCTGATGAGTGCAACAGAGCCAGTTTGTAGGCCAGATCTGGCATGTGGGGTTGATCTGCAGGCTGGATGAGTACCATGAAGCTAGTATGTGGACCTCATCTGGTGTGCGGTGCCAGGCCAGTCCTTGGGCCCAATATGGGGCATGGAGAACCCATCCGGCCCATGCAGTTCCCCACAGTCCAGAAATTAGGTAGCAGGATGAGTGACAGAAGCATTAATTGCCATGACTCTAGAGCAATTTTCACTGCCACTGCTACCCTGGTGCCAAGTTTCTAGAACATGGAGAGCCCAAGGGGCCAGATGACATGGCTCTGTGGACCATACCTTGATTGTCCCTGATCTAGTCCAACCCCCTGCTCAGGGTGGAATAATTTCTTCCTGTACTTTAATCAAGTTTCAGATTATATCTGTGGGTGCCTGTAGACATGGCGGGGAGGCTGCTCTGATGTGCTGTAATTACAGTGTGCCGGAGCACACTCAATTTATCAAGTCTGCTAGAGCATGCCAATTAGTGTGCTCCAGCCAGCCTCCACGTACCATGTATCAGCATCTCCATGCTTCAAAATGATGATGGGGGTGCTTTAACTAAAGCTCATTTGATGAGCGCCACCATTTTGAAGCGCAGGGACGCTGATGCACAAGATGCTGCAAGTGCTTTAATTACAGAAGCTCTTGGAGCCGTTCTAATTAAAGTGCCACTCCCCCCAACCCTTGGAGCATCTAGTAAAAAAGCCCTGTATGATCTAGAAAGCACATTTCCTTTTCTCACTCTCTGAAAAGGTAATAAAGCAATCTAGAACCGGGGAATCTGGACTAGCATATTTTGTTTAAATATTTGATTTTGATTCCTCGTGGGTATAAAGTATACTAAAATGCATTTCCTTTTATGCCTAGATACAGTCAAAATATATTTGCTCTTCTAATTAAATTTCCTTCTGAAGTTGCTTGATCTCCATAAACAAAGAAGTTTAACCAAGTTATACTGTATTTTAGAAAGCAGTTTTACCATCCATCCAGGTGGGCAGGCACATTCCCCAGTCACATGGTGACACACTCCTCCATTCTGGCAAGGACATCTTTCTTCACACTGTGGCCCATGCTTGCCTGGAGGGCAAAGATCCTCACAGCTAAAAATTGGTGCACAATGAATACAATTGTTACTTGTATGCGCAGTTGAATCCTCTTCTCTTTCATTATTTTAATATTATACAGAATTCTTCAGGCTGGCAATATGAAACACCAAGTCAGGAAAAATAAAGGGAAATATCCCTAAAATCTCACTGGAACAGTTCTATGCCTCTATTAAAATAAAGGCAGCAATTAGAGAATTGTAGGTATATGTACTTTTAATTAAGCATCTTGCTCTCTTGACAAATGCAGTTAAGATTCATTTTTATGTCTGCTGGAGGGATTAACCTAATCAACTACATTTTTCACCGGTTAATTTTCCCCGATAGTGTCAGACTCTATGGGCATGTACAGATGAGCCCACAAACCGCACATGGAAGTATTTGCCTGATCCTGCCTCCTCATAGGCCTTCTTAGTGGGACATGGCAGTTCATTATCTAGTTAGGCAGCTGTGTATACAAGTAGATTTGCTGCCCATCTAACAATCTATTATGTGTGTTTAACTATCCATCCACTTTCAAAAACAATGTATTTAACCTGATGAACAATGATTTGAAAATGTAAGTGTAAAATTCATTTTCCAAATCTTAAATTGCTATCTGCCACCTAACATAGCCAATACATTTGCACATGCATTCAAATTTACGCTGTAGCAGGTCCAGTTTTCAATGTTCTGTTGATTCTGGCACAGGAAGTGTACTAGAGGTGAAGACTTTAACTGAAAACACAGATCTAAAAGCTGAAGTCAATTCTCAACTTGATCCTAAAGCCTAAATGTACACAAGTGAAACAATAGGGACCACACTACTCATCAGTAAAGATTTCTAAATTTAGGAATACTTTTGCACAAAACTGCTAGTGTTACTAGTCCAATTTGTCACAGCATTTTAAGAAGGGTGTCTAAGAAATATGAAGGAATACGATAATCAAATACATATAGATACATTTTATAACGAGAACAGCACACTGTTAACTTCGAACTAAGCAGATTATCCTGGTTAGCATCATGCCGACACGTACCTTCCCACAATAAATAACATACCCTCTACTTACAAAGCCCCAGTGTATCCAGGAGGGCATCTGCATTCTCCAGTCACATGATCACAGGTGGCTCCATTTTGACACTGACACTTTTGGTGGCAGTCGTTTCCATATGTCCCTTGGTCACAGCGTTCTTCACAGCGCCAGCCTTTGAATCCTGAAGCACAGTGGCAGGCTCCAGTGATAGGGTTGCATAAGGCTTTATTTTTGCACTGGCAGCGACTACTGCAGTGGGGTCCCCAGTGGTCACTGTCACATGCTGAGGGAGATAAAATTTTCACAATGCTTTTATAATCATTCACGTTAGAATACTGAAGATAAGATCTTGAGGTACCAAGAGCACTTCCTTATAAAATGGGACTAGCAATAGCATTGCAGTCAGGGCATCCTTAACCTTCCTCATTTTTTAAGGTTTTTGATAGCCATATATAGGACTCAGATTTGTGCAATGGAAATTATTTCGTAACCTGCAGTAAATGTACACGGGCATTTCATCTGTTAGGAAAAAAACCGTAAGTCCCTAGATCTTCCAGTGTGTTCCAATGTGGAACTGCAATTATGCTTGTAAAGCTAAAGAACCAAATTCTTCACCTGATAGTCTAACCATGATGGGGTGTAAAATGAGAATAAAATATAATTCATAACCTGACTTCAAGGAACAAATATATAGTGAAATCCTACACTGAAGTTATAAAGATAAAAGTATTGTCATTACTGCCAGCACAGACCCCTCCCCCTGCTTGTCTTTTGTATTCTAATTTTTCTCCTCCTCATACTTTTCTTTCTGCACATCCTCTCACAGTATCTGATGAAGTGAGTTACAGCTCATAAAATCTTGTGCTATACACATACACGTACACACAGACATATACATACAAACACCTACATATACAGGTTTCCCTTGCTTTATACTGTACATGCATTCCTGGAAAACGGCTCATAACTCGAAGTCACATAAAGGGAACCCACTTCACAATGTAACAAATAGGGATACATTCCAAGACCTTGACTGTACTGACCCCCACGCTCATTTCTACCACTTTTACAAGGCAGTTTTGGTATTCACCAACAGCAGACAGTACACACAAGCACAGGGCACTGTTATAATGGGGATGGCAGCTACAGAAGCACGTGCTGCAGACAACAAGCGAGGAGCACAGATCCACACGAGAGACTATATTTTGGTGCGTGTCACTGCCACAAAGCACCACATCAAGCATCTGACAGTGGGCTTCCACTACACCAATCGCATAAGAGTAAATTTACCTTGCATATAACAAATTTTTGGTATAAAAAGGGTCATCGCATAAAAGTGAATTCACACATACAGAAACCCTGTGAAGCAAGGGAAACCTGTATATATATGTGTTTGTGTATATGTATATGCATATGCATACACACACAAACACACACATATACATATCTATATCTGTTATTCTATATTGGTGACTCTATAAGGTTCAAATCTGTCCTGCCTTCTATTATTATCAGTGTCACACTGAATGGCAGGTTTTTCTCCAAAATGTGAAACTTCTAAATTATTTACATATTTATTTATTTATTTTGCATATTTACAAAACTATTTATTTTCTGATTTTATAATACTATTTGCTGACAGTGTTGTAAGCAACGTGAGAAGTGTTCCACTAGACAAGAGCAGGCAAGGTTCTTTGGGTAGATGTGATATCTTTTATTAGACCAACTAAATAGTTGGAAAAAATGTTCCTTGCAAGCTTTCGGGCACAAAATCCTTTCCTACTAGACAAGAGGAAATAACAGTTATGGGATTTGATAATAGGTAGCATCATGAATAGTAACATGACTAGGCATCAGGTCTACCACATGATAAGCCATCAAAGCTCAATAGGCAAAGCCTTCTCAAAATATTTTTTTCTAACTATCAAAAGGAATACTGAGGTAAGGTTTTAAAAGTGAAAAATGTTTTTAATTTCTTTCGAAGTGAGAAATATGAACATGCTATAAAAAGGAAACAAAGGTCACCTAGAGTTCACCACAAATGTGTTAATCGTGGTCAAATGATCTGGTTTTTATTCTTAAATTCTTTTGATAACAACAATGGGACCTCAGATGCAATGACTAGATGTCCATACTCTCTCCCTAGCAACTAACAACTATTGTTCACTCAGTCTTCTCCTGGGGCAGAGCAGCTAGGCGTAGAACAGACCTACTTTCTTAGAGTGAGACAAAAGAACTGAAGACATCTCCTCAGGGCAAAAATTACTTTGCTATAGAAACTGATCACTCAGACTACACAAATCAAAAAGGATTAGGGTCTTCTAAAGATTTTTTCTTTCTATATGGCCAATGTCCTCGTTATTTCCTAAGATCTATGGCATGCTTTGAAGTGACAGCCTCCTCTTAAAGAAGGTCACTGGAACATGAAATATAGACATTGTTTACATATATGTACTGTGGCTGAAATAAATAAATAAATAAATAAATGTGGCAACTTAGTACAAAATTTCTATACTCAGGATGCCCATTTTATTTCTTCATCCCTATCTGTTTATTTTCCTTCCTTAGCTATTTAAGCATTCGTTTTTATGAACTGGACGTTGTACAAAGCACTACAATGCATCTAACACAAGATGGATGTCTTTCCTCATTAGAACTCATACAAATTCAGGACTCACAAAAAACTACTTTGCATGTGCTAGATGTAAGAGAAAATGGAATCCTCAGGCAGAATCAGTCATCAACTTCTTAGGAAACCAGTTGTTCTGGGATGTATATATGTGTACAGTACATTTTTGAGACACACAGATGTTCTCTCATGGCTGCATGAAGATCACCACCCTCATTTTGCTTAACACCTCCTGATGGATTCAGATTACGGTCTGTCTGCTGCCTCCAACTAAAAGGAATAATTTCAGTCACTCCTCATGAAGAGTTTAAAAATAATCCTAAACGCCTTGTACTATCCAAAGGACCCACTGTGAAGAAATTAATAATTTCAACTGACCACTGGATAGCAGCCCTTTCAAATAACACAAAATGGGCCACATTCAGCCCTGCTATAGAATTACACTAGGGATGAACGAGGCTCAGACTCTCTTGATATGGTATATACAAAGTACCTCTCAGTGAAAGAAAAGATACATTTAGCTGACAGTTTCCTGCTTGTATTATTTTACCAGACGCTAAATATGGGATACTTGATGTAATTCACCAACATTTATGCAGATATATAGAGGAACAGCTTAACTAGTCTCATATGTAAACAGACTTTGCTACTGAAAGCCTACTCCGCTGCCAATGAACCAAGCAATATGCACAAAGATTGGCATACTGCACCATGCACCATGCTACCCTTATGAGAGGAAACAAATACGCTATGTCTCTGAATTGGAAACTTCCTTGCAAAAAAAAATTTAGAGACCTGAACTGTATATTGCTTGATAATTTATTAGTTTCCTGCTTGTGTTCTCATTCTGTTTGCATGAAACCCAGTCAAATAGAAAACATCAGGTGTCCAGTGATTAAATTTCCAATTTTGAGATTATCTTTCTGAAGACGGTTGGTTGTATAACAAGTACAGACTATACCATTGTTTTATTATAGCATAATGCCAGGGCTTTTTACCAGAATAATTACAGTTTTCATATAGTCTCTTATGCTAGATCTGTCACAAACCTACTATCCAACTGTGACGTATGGGTACTGTTGCAGAAAAAACTTGCACGATTAATGGGAATAAATAATATTCTTGAACAAGATAGATACATCATATACTTTATCTCTATATCACTTGCCCTCTAATCAATAATGTCTCCTATAGGAAATTAAAGTGATTTGTCAGAAACACATACTGGGATTACCACAAAAAGGATACAAATAATAGAAATGCTTCCTGTGGGGAGTTTCGTTTATTTGTAATTAGTTCTGGAGGTTACATTTACCAAATATTACCCCAGACTATTTTTACTGCTGCCTAATATTAAAAAACTAAGAAAGGCAGGCTGGTAATCACACAGCTGTTAATCTGGTGAAATGGGCAGTCTTTGAGTTAATGACTATCCTCAGGTTACAGACTGTCAGCTGGAGTTTAATCAGAATAGCTACTGTAATGACTGTCCTGACTACTCCAAGGTCACTTACACACAAACACATGCACAAACACACAGGCACAGAGGAAGAAGAAAGTGTCAGCTAGTGACTTCCACCAAACTGAACTGGAGCAGTAATAAATCATCACAATGCAGTGTATGAGAGAGAGAGGAAGAGAACTGCACAGTAAAAAGAATTAGAAGTCCCAAATTCAGAACACATAATAAGACTCAGGTTTACTAATTCAGAGAAATGATATGCCAAAGCAACATAGAATGCATGGTTGCTTTCTAAACAGGTCACATTTGTTAGCATCCAAAACTAAATGTGAAATGTATAAGTTAGTTTTCATTACATATAATTATATAAATTTACTACAGGCTGTTTAACAGTGTTATAAGAGTGAAACTCTACTTGCAAAGTATTTTAATATTTTTTTCCTAGTAGCGAATGAGCTTTACTCTGTAAAAGTTTTGCTTCTGGGAATAAATATGGACCTCACAAAAGTCAAGGGCCAAATTCTCATTGAATTTGGCCCTTGACTTTTGTGAGGCCAATATAAAAAATTATATACATTTACTATAGACTGTTTAACAGTGTTACAAGAGTGAAGTTCTACTTGCAAAGTGTTTTAATATTTTTTCCTAGTAGCTAATGAGCTTTACTCTATAAAGGTTTTGCTTCTGGGAAGAAATATGGGCCCCACAAAAGTCAAGAGCAAAATTCTCACTGAACTTAATGGGATCATAATTTCATCCCAGGTCTTAAAGCAATGAAATGGAAGTTCTGCTAGGACAGGCTGGGGACACCTCCAATAGCAGATACACTGATTTAAAGAGAATTACGGTAAGTTGAACCAGCAGAGGATCTGCCCCAGTCTATCTGCCATGAATAAAAAGTGGTCCACTTCTAACCTATTTCTTGGGGCATAGGCGCCTTTATGTATAACACAATGTAAAACCCATCTTTCTCTGTTTATTGCTTCGACTACGCTCTTATGAGAGTCATAAGGTTCTTACATCCTACATCTTGCACTACAGAATAAAATTCAAGAGAAATGTTTACTAAAGACTGTCTAGACCTTTAGCAAAGAAAATTATTTGATGCCTCTTCTTTTTATCTTTTTTTTCTTATATGCTTTCTGTTCAGCGAGGAATATATTTTTCTAGACCCTTCAGTAAAAGCTCTGTA